ACCAGATCAGGTTTGTTTTTTTACCTTTTTGTCTGCAGTTTCTTGTCCTGATCAACAAAGGGTCAGATATACCTGGTGTATTTGGATATTTCTCTGAAGGGCACCGACTCCATCCGAAGATTGTATCTGGCCAGTACTTCCACACCACCAAAACAAAAATTGAGCAACTCAGACTTAGTCAAATTGGTATTTTTTCATCTTTCTTTTAAGGAGGGCTATTTTGTTCAGATGTGTCTGGTTTCCTTCACTGACTTTTCTGTCTCATTCTGTGTTCCAAATCCCATCCCCTCTTGTGGGGCCTTACTCTTCCTTTTGTTAGCTTTTTCTGCAATATCTTCAAGCTCTTTTTGACTGGCTCTGCCTATTAGCACTGAGATAGGCTCATTCCTTCTTGAACCCACATTCCCTTCTAACTGGTGCCCCAGCCAGCTCTTCCTTCAGATTCAAACTCCTGAAAAGCTTAGTGGCTCCACTTCTGTAGGGTTCATTCTCTCCTCAACCCACTGCAGTCTAATTTCTTTTACCACTCTTCTACCAAAACCACTCATGCTGAGTCACAAATGGCTTTTCAGTGTGACTCTATGTAACAGACCTTTTAAATCTCTATCTTACTTGACTCCTCGGTAGAATGTGACCCAGTTGTCCCCTCCTGCCTTGTTGGAATATTCACTCTTGGCTTCTGTGGCTCCATATCTTAGGTTTTCTTTGTGTTTCTCCAACTGCTTTTCTCCAGGCTACTTTGTAGGTTGCATTTCTTCTGCCTTTTCTTAAATGTGGTGGTCTCAGGGTTCCATCCGAGGCCTCATCTTCCCTTCCCTGTTTTTTCTCTTCCTCTCCCCCTCTTCTGGTCTCCCCTCTTCTCCCCTCATCTCCTCTCCTCTTTGAGTAATTGTGGCAGTCAAAATAACAAAAACAAACAAGCAAACCCTATGGTATGCTAAGGAGGCTAAGGCAGTTAAAACCCACAACTGTAGCATGGACAATTATTTCTTGTTCATGTCACATTCCAGGGAGGTCTGCCATATGTCCTCTCTAGTCTGGGGCCCAGGAGCTTTGGTAGCGTAGTGCCTAAGGCACTTGACTGCTAACCAGGAGGCTGGCGGTTCAAACCCACCAGCCACTCCTCGGAAGGAAGGTTGGGCAATCTACTTCCATAGTGATATCGCCTTGGAATCCCAAGGAAGGGTCACTATGAGTCGGGTCCGACTTGACGGCACATAACAACTAACAACACCAAGTCTGGGGCCCAGTCTCCACAGTGCAGCAAAGAGACTTTTCTGAAACACAAATCTGATTATAAATCTCCCTCTCCTGCAGACTTGCGACAGCTTCCCATGGACAACCTGGTCATGTCCAACCTTTTTAACATGGCTTAGATTACATCTGGCTCCTGTTTACAATGCTGTCTTCGTCTTTCTCCAAGTCCTAGAACTCTACACACCAGCTTGAGCAAACTAATTCCAGTTTCCCAGATGTGCTGAAGTCTCTCCTCTGGAGGCCTTGCACATTCTCTTTTCTCTCCCAACATGCTGTCCACCCAGTCTTCACCTTGGCTAGTTCCCTCAGATCTCTGCTTGTATTTCCCATCTCCAGTAGAAGTGTGTTCTGATTTCCCAAGACTGGGTTATATGTCACTTCTCTGTGCTCACATAACACCTGAGCTCACCTCTATGTGCACACTGTGTTGAGGTGCCTTCCCTACCAAAAAAGATGCTCCTTGAGGACAAGGCTAGTCCTCATTTTTTGTTGGGCTGAGAGCTGAGCCTAGTCCTGGCACTTATATAATAGGTGCTTGATAAATAAATATTGAATGAGTAAATGATTGGATATATTAATGGTCATAATCTTTTAGGAACCTCCAGAGAGTTTACCTTTATTTTACAAGACATTTGAATACGAGATAAAGGGCTAAGAATCTGGACCCCTGGGCTCTTAGTCCATTTTGCCTCTCCCATTCTATGGCCTTGGCAACTCACTTCATTTCTCTAGGCTTCAGATTTTTTCACCTGTAATATAATGAAATGAAAGTAAGTGAGCCTTAGTGAAGGACTGAGATTCTATTATTTTCACTGTGTTGCTTTGTGGATCCATCTTTATATATTGAAAGGCCTTATGTTTGCATTTTTATTTGTGTATTTTTTTGCATACGGATCTTGTCACATATCCATACTCCATAACCTTAATCATATATGTAGTATTCCACTGTGACTTTTCTGACTTCCTTAGTTCTTTTGGCTTTATCTAGACACAGACTTACTTGGGTGCAGGAATCTGACATTGTGGTATATGCAGACTGAATTTAGATCCTCAGTTTATGTATCTGTACTTTGTCCTGAGTGATGCTTGATCTTCTTTGATCTTCTTCCTATATGATTGCATCAGAAAGAATCCTTTGCCTTCACCATCTGTCCTTCCAAAATTACACTGCGATCAAGCGTGCACTTGTATAGCATGTGCCTAAGTTTGACAGGCATGCTGCTTTCTCCTAGGGTTGGACCCAGCTGGGCCATTTTTCCACAACACTCCAAATGAAGCCAGGTTGGACCCCTCAGATGCCAAATTTGTCGATGTCATTCATACAAATGCAGTTCACTTACTCTTTGAGTTTGGTAAGTGTTTAACAGAGAAAGAAACAGCATTGAAACTCAGAGGTTTTTTAAAAGTATTTACCCTACATTCATTTATTTTCAGGTGCTGGGACCATTAATGCCTGTGGCCACCTTGACTTTTACCCCAATGGAGGAAAGTACATGCCTGGATGTGGTGACTTAGTCACACCTCTATTTGAACTTGACTTCAATACTTATAAGAAAGGTAAATACTTTTTAATATATAAAGACCACTTGTATGTCATCACTCAGCTCCCTCCTTAGCTGAGATCCAACATCCTTTTGAATATATTTATATTTTAACCCCAAACAGATGCATATATGAAGTGCCCCCACCCCCCAGTTGTGAGATCTGCAAGGCCAGGGACCATGTCTTAGTTACCTTTACATCCTCAGTGTTGTGCACAATGCTTAGCATATAAACACAAAGTCCCTCAGTTTAAACCCAAAGAATGCACTCATTTATTCAACACGTATGTTTTTGAGTGCTTACTATGTACCAGGTATTATTCTAGGAACAGCAGATGTAGGAATGAATACAAAAGGCAAAATGTCTGCATTTTGAAATTTACATTCCAATCTGGAAGAAAAACAATAAACAAAGATCCTAAGTGCTAAGGAGACAAAACAATACACGGAAGAGAATGGGATGTTTTGGTGGCAGGGTGGGTAGAGGTGGGGAAAGGAGATTTTGGGTCGGAGGCCAGGAAGTCTTTCCTGAAAAGAGGACTCTTGAATAGAGATCTGAAGGAGAATTAGTCCTTGTAAATGCCTAGGGGGAAGACATTCCAGGTCAACAGGCACAGTGAGTGCAAAGGGCCTGGTGAGGAGCCCAACTGGCCAGTTCCAGGCAGTGAGGCAGCTCTTGTGGCTGGAGTAAAGTGGAAGAAAGGAGAGGAGTAAGCAGTGAAGTCGGACAGGGAACAAGGCAGAGGTGGATAATACAGGACTTGATGGATTATTCCAAGGACTCCAGCTTTTCTCAGGTGAGATGGGAGCTACGGGATGGTTCTGAGCAGAAGAGCGACGTGGTTTAACTTGCTTGTTAGCAGAAGTAATCTTGCATGCTGTACTCACAAATTCAGTGAATAGCATTTAATGTTTTATAGGAGTTGCCAATAATAGTAATATCTATAGGACACTTATTTCTAAGACACCAAAGTGTTATTATTTGGGAATTCCATTCCCTTCTATCTCTACATGTCATCATAACATAAGATAATGATGCATAATATGCCATACATAATATATAATACATGACATAGTATATATGATGATATGGTAGTATCATGATATGATATAGAATAGAACATTTTTGTGACTCATAAAAATAACTGATAACTCATAACTGAATGCACTATAGATTTTTGACTTTTAATTGGAGATTTTTAGTCAAGCAAGCGTTTTCCAGTTTGGCAAGTGGGAGTTACCCAGAACCATAAGTAGCCTTACCTAACTTTATGAAATCATTGGGCACAGAAAGAATGTATGACTCACCTTGTGATGAGTAAACATCTGGATTTTTCATATGACTATTTTTACACTAAAGATCATGACATTGAGAGTGGCTTGGATCTCCTCTTCATTAGAGATAAATTACAGAGTTCTGGTATTTTTCATAGAGTAAATATGATGTACAATGACAGCTTTTTTAAAAAAACAAAACTGATGCATCTACAGATACTTAAAACAAGAATTACAGCCAATCCCACTTAGTAGAAATAAGTAAAATTCAAACAAAATAAAGCCTATGTAAGACTTATTTCTCTTGTATTTTTCCATATTGTGATTTAAAATTCTTTCCGGTAGGATAAAATATAGACCATAAGACTTCTTTACATAACTGTAACTACATTAGGTATTATACATAGAGCATTTGAGATTTTGTCAAGGATTAATTAAAGAAAAGTATTGGTCCTAAGCTATAATTTTGAAACACTGTAAGATTTCCTATAACTTAACTAGATTAAAAGTATGTTTATCATTCACATTAAGCCTTTGGATGAGTTTTAAGGCTTCCCAATATTCTATTTTACATTATACTTATTATTAAGAAACCATTTAGTTTTAAAATCCAGAGTTCACTATATTCTAATGAACCATCTTTTCTAAATCACAATTAATTGGGAATATCAATCTGTATATGTAATAACCTGATGTAATAGAAGGATTTGTTTTTTAAAAAAAAATGCCAAGTATTGATCTCTGCTGACTAGACTCCATTTCTGAATCATGTGTCTCCATTATCCATTGCAATCATTTTACTGCTCATGATTCTACGGGTCAGGATTCAGGCGGAGTTCAGAAGAGACTGCTCAGGGTGATGTCAGCTGGGTTGACTCATGTGATTGCATCTTTCTGGGGGCTGGGCTAGATGGGAAAGCCCAAGGTGGCCTTGTCACATGTGTGGAACTTTGGTACTAATTGCCCTCCAAGTAACTTCTCTCCCCACAAAGTCTGTTACCCTTCAGGGCCTCGCTTCCCAGCCATATAGTCTGGATTTCTTTACATGGTGGCTGGGTTCTGAGAGAGTAAGAGTAGAAGCTGCAAGCCCTCTTAAGGCCTAGGCCCTAGAACTTAACCAGGTCACTTCCTCCACAGTCTATTGGTCAAAGCAGTCATGAGAGGCGTCATATCCAGGGGAGTGATAAAATAGGGGCAATCTCTTGATGGAAGGAGTGGTAACACGATATTGTAAAAGGGTAACCAAAAAATGAAAAAATAAAAACCATACTCACTGCCATCAAGTTGATTGCAACTCATAGCAAGCCAGTCTTGGGCTTCCGAGGAGGTATCTCTATGGAAGTGGATGGTCCAGAGCCCATTATTCTCATATAACGACCTACCACATGGACCATCTTTCCAATGAGCTATACAGTTTAGTTGATCTTTAAGAAATGAGATTTTGAGTCAAAATCTCATTTCTTAAAGATCAGCTAAACTGTACAAGTCACTGGAAGAATGGTCTATGCCATAGAGTAAGAATATTGCTTATGCAAGGTCAGGAAAGCAGAAATTACTAGAACACAATGACAATGTCAGAGGGCACAAATGTATTTAGATTATGTTATTTATTGCAATGAGAGCTCTGGTGGTGTAGTCCCTAAGGCACTTGACTGCTAATCGGAAGGCTGGCATTTCAAACCCACCAGCTACTCCTCAGAAGGAAGGTTGGACAATCTACTTCCGTAGTGGTACTGCCTCGGAAACCCAAGGAGGGATCGCTATGAGTCGGATCTGACTCGATGGCAGTGAGTAGTAATGGTGTTTTTTGCAATATCCTAATTATTGGTGGCAGTGATATCATGCCTGACAATGACAAAACTCATATGATATTAGCCTTCTTTGTAATACGCCCACCTCCCTCATCTCTAAACTGAGCTAAAGGTAAACACTGGGTAATGTTGCTGGCTATTTTGTGACTGAATAAGAGAGAATTCAGTCCTTGTCACAGGAAAGGGGAAACAGAATTAATTGGTCTAAGGTGGAGATGCTGCGGGCACAGAGATTCTTCAAGCTCTGAATGCTTTTGGCAGAGATTCGGGGAGCACTTGGGATATTAGGGTCAGAGGACAAGGCCATCTATACTCACTTTTGCTTCTTTGCCCTGCTTGAATGTCCCTTTAGATTCACACAAAGAATTCTTTGGTGCAAAGACAATGATACGAACATACTGATGGAGGCCATGTAATATCCAAGCCTGCACACAAAGCCTGGCTGTCTAGCCCCTCTAAATGCAGAAGCTACCATTTGAATTTAAGAAATAGTTCATGCTATCTGTTGTCAGTCAGAGGCTGTCAAGTTAATTGGCTATTTTTTTTTTTTTTTTTTTGCAGAAGCGGCTTCTTTCTTTGATTGTAACCATGCCCGGAGTCATCGCTTTTATGCTGAAAGCATTCTCAATCCTGATGCATTTATCGCTTATCCTTGTAGATCTTACGAATTTTTTAAAGCAGTAAGTAAAGCACTTTGCAGTGGAATTTAATTATCAACTCATTTTTTGGAACATGATCCGCCAAGTAAAAGTGAGGGCTTGGAGAACAGGGCAAAAAATGTGTCTGCCATTTGGAGAGATAATGAATTGTTTCTTTGCTGATACTGAACGGCAGCTGAGACTGCTGAAGGGCTGGAACGACTCAACCAACTATTTGTATTCTGTTTGTTTCAGCTGTTTTGAAGATTCTATCCAATTTTGCTTTTTTGGCCATTTGTTATGCAGTAATTAGATGCTACTGTGTAACAGGCATTAGTCCAGGGCAAAAATTTTTCTGTGCGTATATTTTAAATGTCATCTCCAAAGATGCCCTGGGAAGGAGGCAGCAATCAATAATTACAGCACAACATATTACTATGTACTTGGAACCTGGGAACTATTTTATTAAGGTTTAATTATTCATGCACAGCAGCACGAAGGCATCAGTAGCTCACAGGAGTGCTGCACAGATCGATACGTGACAAAATACCAAATCTGATTTTGCCTGAATCATAAAGCACAGAGTGCCAGGTCGGAGCTTAATGCATTTTTCATTGGAGTATCACTGTGAAAAGGAGAAAGAAAATCTATTTTGTGGTAGAAGTGAAAAATATTTTTGTTGTCCTGCTTTGGAGACTTAATCCCATTTTCTCAGGATAGAGAACATGAGGTTTCCAGCGAAGTTTATTGTCAGTAACAGCACTTTGTGAGTAAGTGCGCTGTTAGGACAGGGGCGGGCCTCACCCTCTTGTAGACGTTGTAGACCATGGTGGGTGGGTGTGCTCAGGCTCTCCTTGTCTGCTCAGCCTCGAGGGTTTGTCCTTACTCCTAACGTGCCCTGGGGAACTGCTATTCTCAGGAAGCTTGATAGCACTTTGGAATATCCCAACCACTGGCGTTTCCCAGATGAATCCTCTTTTTCCACACCTGCCCCTTCCTTGTGCACTGATGCAGCACTGAGAGGCTAAGAGGCCATGGCATTCCCTCTGCTGATGGGGGTGCCAGAGTCATAGACGGTTCAGAGGTAATGAGGATACAGCCAGAGTGCAGAGCACTCAGGAGCTGACTCAGGCACCTGGTGAGTGCTAATTTTGGTTAAACACTAGAGTACATCACATCAATTTCTTTGACATGTTTTATTGTACTTTTACCCAAATAGTTTTTTTTTTTTTTTTAAAGCAAGGGTCAGGGGCAGGGGTGCTTGTGTCAGAGTGAGAAAGTCTAGGCTGACATTCTGGCCTCTCCTCTCATTAGACAAGGGCCGTTAGACAAATTGTTCAGCTTCTCTGTAATTCCCTTTGTTCATTTGTGAAATAGGGAGACTAAGAGCCCCTATCTCACAGGGATTGTCTGAGTATTAAATTAGCAAATGCACAGTGTTGAGAACAGTGCCTAGCGTGTGGTTAGCACTCAATGAATATGAACCCTTATTATTATGATCTCCCTTTATTAAAAATGGAATTTAAATGGTGTGTTACTACAGTCTTAGAATGTGTCTATAGTTTACAAATTTAAAAGTCCAAAATCTAAAATAGCAAATATTCAATCACTTGCTACCCAGATTGTTAAAAAGTTAACACATTGTTAGTTTTGCTTTAGATTCAAAAATGTGCAGATAAAATTAAAGCATTGAAGTCCCTTATATTCTTCACTCCCTCCCCTAAGGCAGAATTTGAAGTGTGTTTGACGTATATCAAATAAACGGGATCATACTGTGTAGCTTTATGGATTTGCAGTTTTCATTCAATATTATAATCTTGAGCTCTACACTGATGTCTATAAATCTAGATTTTGTAGGAATCAACCACAATTTATTTATTCCCCTACTGATGTGCATTTTGGATATTTCCAGTTTTATTATTAAAAGAAATGCTTCTGTAAACACCCCTTTACGTATCTCCTTGGACTTGGGTGGGAGTTTCTTTATGACACATATTAGAAGGGAAATCGTCAAAGCATATGTGCACTTGCATCTTTATTAGATATTATCAACTTGCTGTCTACGACGTCTATCAGTTTACACTCCCATCAGTAGGAAACGAGAATTCCTCTACTTTGTCTTCACCGGTACTTGGTGGTGTCAGTTGTTTTATTTTTTTTTCAGTTCTGCTGAATATGAAGAATAGGAAGGAACATACTAGCACACACATGCATTTAGCTGACTTCAATTCAATATGAAACATCTGCTGGGAACCTTAAAAAATTATTCTTAAAGGAGGATTGCATAACTATGCAAAAGCATTACAAACAGCTTTTTTAGACATTAGGAAAATAAGTATAGAAATGTCAAAAAACACCCCTACAGGGTAGATGATCCCCTGAAATGAGTGCTCTGAAAGAATCTTGAAACCTTATACCAAAAATGTCCCTGAAGTCTTCTTAAAACCAAACAATAGTTTAACTCAACTAGTAAAAAATGTCTGCCTTGAACATTGTGCTCTCATAAGAACTAGCTTTAAAAAAAAAAAAAAAAAACCAAACTCACTGCCATTGAGTCGGATCCGACTCATAGCAACCCCTCCTTGGGTTTCTAAGTCAGTATCTCTATGGAAGCAGATTGTCCAATCTTCCTTCCGAGGAGTGGCTGGTGGGTTTGAACCTCCAATCTTCTGGTTAGCAGTCAGATGCCTTAGGCACTCTGCCACCAGAGCTCCTACTTTATAGGATCAAATTAACAACAGCAACTCCAAAGATTGGCTAGGAAACTTAAAGGGCAGTGGGTTTGTGTTAATGAAGGAGGAACAACCCAGAAGGGAGGATAAGAATGATCCCACAACTCCAAGAATGTCATCCAGCTCACTGAATTGTACCTGTGGGAACTGTTGCACGGTGTGTGTTTTGCTCTCACAACAACAAAATGAGTAACATTTGGGAAAAGAAAAAAAAAAAAAAAACATTCCTACAAATCTTAAAAGGAGCACAGGACATGGTTGTTCCTACTGGCCCCCAGTGTCTTGTTTTTATTAGCATTTCCATGATAAATATTGAGGCTGAGTGTTCTTTACATCGTTATCGACTACTCAAGTTTCCTCTCACGTGGATTATCTCTTCATATCCTTCACCCATTTTCATAATAGACAGTTTAGTCTTTTCCTCTCAGTTCTTTTTGTTTTGTTTTGTTTTTGAAAATTGTCAACTTAGTCATTTTTGAATGCATATACTTTACTTAGATTCCAAAGATTTATCATGAGTTTATCAAAGAGAAAAATTTCTATTTACATAAATAACTACTTCTTATTTTCTATCACCAGGGGAAGTGCTTCCATTGTCCCAAAGAAGGTTGCCCAACGATGGGTCACTTTGCTGATAGAGTTCACCTCCAAAGCATGAAGCATAATAGAGCATATTATTTTTTAAACACAGGGACTTTTTCCCCATTTTCCCGTAAGTATTACTAACTAAGTTTTACTGTAATGCTTTAAGGTACCTATCTTAAAATATTCAAGTTTTTACCCAGTGTCTACTAAGTACTGGGCATTAGAACAGGCCCTGAGGATCCAATGAAGAACAATGCACTGAAGACCGTCACCAAGTGTAGGCAGTGGAGAAGGAAACAAATACAATCTCAGCTTCAATCCCAAGTAACAGACTTCATGCCCCGAGACATTCAGGGAACTCGGAACACAAAGAAGGAAATTCTACAGCCAGGTCAAGAAACCTGAGGGAAAGTGATTTCTAAACTGAATCCTGAGAGATGAAGAAGAGGGAGAAGAGGAGGAGTATGTTAGGAAGAAGGAACAATAATGTAGAAGGAACAATAATGTAAATGGTGGAGGTAAGAAAGAGCAGAACTAAAGGAAGCTGCCCTTGAGGAACAGGAGAGAACCAGGTGAAGGGTAGTATGAGATGAGGTGGGAGAGGTAAGTTGAGAATGAAGGGCCTTTTGTTCCATGTGGAGAGTTTGGACTTTTTTTGTGCGGGTCAGTAGAAAGCCCTTCAAGGGTTATATGGATTAGAACATCACTCTGGATGCTGCATGGGTTAGAGGGGACAAGATGAAGGCAGGTGCCTGTCAGGCAGTTGTCACGACACTCCAGACAGAAAGGGAGAGAGAAGTGAAGAGATTACACAGATGGTTAGGTAGTAGACGCTAAGTGGAACTTGGTGAACAGTTTTGAGGAACGCAGAAGAGGGAGAAATCAAAGGCTGGTTCTGGCTGCACAGGTGATGTGGCGTTCCCTGAGGTGAACCAGTGGAAGAGAGGCTGGTTTGAGTAAAATGAGAGGTTCAGTTTCTCTTGTGTCACATTTAAGGTCCCTTTGGGGCTTGGGAGTGTGCATACCCACAGGGCAGTGGGAGATAGGGGTCTGAGCCACTGGAGAATGGATGTGGTGTGGAGATAGAGGTTTGGGTAACACCTGTGTCTAAACAGTAATCTACTATGAAGGTGGGTAATGTAACTACCCATGAAGAGTGTGTCAAATGAGATGAAAAGAAAGCAGAGAAAGAAGGCCCTGCAAAGGAGACCGAGGAATGGGCAGAGAGGGTTGTTTGAGGAGCCAAAGGAAGAAACACAATGGAGAAGGGAGTATGCATTCACCACACCAACATGCTGCAAGGCCAACAGAGACGAGGGTTCTAGGGGCTCACTATGCATTCACACCAACATGCTGCGAGGCCAACAGAGACAAGGGTTCTAGGGGCTCACTGCATGAAGCACAGTTCAGTCCTGGGTGGGCTTAGTGAGAGTGGTTTCAATGGAGAGGTGACAGCAGGAGTGGGAGCCATATTTCGGAGAAATGGGTTGAGGAGAGGAAAAGGACTCATTGGCAGTGATTCACTCAATGGATTGATTAATTTTCTCTGATAGTGCCCCCCTTTTTTACGTTTTTCAAATTTTATGAAGAATTGCATTTTTCAAAGTTAAAATCATTAAGCTTACAACAATGTCAGGATACAGGATGAAACTCTTTTTACCTGTAGATTTTTAAAAAGTGACACTTAATCACGTGTAAGGGAATTATGCTATTGCCAGGCACAGTGCAGACCCAGACCTATGCAAACATGTGCTGACTAAGCATTGCTAGCATATGTCACTGTAGGAGAGCAAGAAACAGTTCACTTTGCCTCTAAGTGGTTATAAGACAGGACGTCTTGCCCATAAGGTCTTCTAGAATGTGTTTTTTTTTTTTTTATTTTGACTGTGAAACTGTGGTAAATAAAAGACATGGCTTTAGAATGTGTACATGTCACAGAATGCAAAGGAAATTAGCGAAAGATGACAAACAACTTCCATTTTAAAAAGTCATGAAAATGTCTGGAGAATTAACAAAGTTCCTTCTGGAAAGACTGTTAAACACTTTACCTTTGGACAATTAGAGCGTGAGCGTTGCTGCATTAGGTTGTATTTTTCCCCATGTATCTGGAGCCGCGCTCTGCTTTGACCCGGTGACACACACGTATGTGAAAGCGCGCAGGATGCTCTGCATTGCTAGTATTGTTAACCCTTCACTTTCTTGTCTTGTCTTCTCTTTATTTCCAGGTTGGAGGCACAAATTGTCTGTCAAACTCAGTGGGAACAATGTCACTCAGGGGAGCATATTTCTCCGTGTAGGTGGAATGACTCGGCAAACGGGGGAGCTGGAGATAGCCAGGTAGGCCTGAGAGCGAGGAGCTGGCAGCTAACACGGTGCGGGTGCCCAGGAAAGGCTCAGTTAGACAGCTTATGAAGCAGCATGGTCTCCTCTTCTCCGACAATACCACAGGCTACCATGCAAGCTTCGATTTTTCTTTTTACTTCCAGTTTTCCAGGTAACTAAGTAACTAACTCACTGCCATGGAGTCGGATCCGACCCATAGCAACCCCTCCTTGGGTTTCCAAGGTGGTATCACTGCGGAGGTAGATTGCCTAACCTTCTTTCCGAGGAGTGGCTGGTGGGTTTGAACCATCAGCCTTCTGGTTAGCGGTCAAATGCCTTAGGCACTACGCCACCAGGGCTCCCGGTTTTCCAGGTATAAAGTAGAAATCCTAATACCTGTTTTTGCAACAATTCCAGGTGGAAACTAAAAACGTTAGGAAATAGATGTGAGACTATGTTGTTGTTGTTGTTGTTATGTGCCCTCGAGTCAGACCCAACTCATAGCAACCCCTCCTTGGGTTTCCGAGGCAGCGTCACTGCAGAAGTAGATTGCCCCATTTTCCTTCCAAGGAGTGGCTGGTGGGTTTAAACCGCCGGCCTTCTGGTTAGTAGTCAAGTGCCTTAGGCACTATGCTACCAGATAGATCTCAATAATAAAGCAAGTGGAATAAAAATGAACAATGGCATATATAAAATATATTTTAATCCAGTCCACTTGATATTATGCAAATTGGAGGATCCATCTTTATATCTGTGGGTCATAACTTACATATGAAAGTTTTAAATGTACATCAATTGCTTACATTTCTAATAATCTCTGAGTGGTACCCATAGAGATAGGACATGTGTTGGAACAGTCATTGTTAGGAATCAGTACAGATGTTCACTGTGTGCCTCTTGCCAAAGTCCCCTTTTATCTTGCATTTTTCTTGTTGTCGTTATGTGCCATTGAGTCAAACCCGACTCATAGCGACCCCTCCTTGGGTTTCCGAGGCAGTATCACTACAGAAGTAGGATTGCCCAACCTTCCTTCCAAGGAGTGGCTGGTGGGTTTGAACCACCAGCCGTCTGGTTAGCAGGCAAGTGTCTTAGCCACTATGCTACCAGAGCTCCTTAGATTTCATTTAATCAACCAGAGCATTTTATATTATGTATCTCACCTCCATTGTTTAATTCCGTAATTCATTTCAGAATTAACATTACACACACTAACTAGACGCTGTCCTTTGCAAACAGATTAATGGATTAGATGTTTTGCTTCTATGACTTCCATTATCTTCAAATAATGGGCAAAGACTCAGAAAGCCAAGCTTTTATTGTTGTTTTGTCAGTTGCAGGATGCATTGGTTTAATCACTCTGGCAGAGTTTCTGCACGTCATCTTAGTGTTCTGTTGGTGATCTTCCACACCCTTCGTTGATGCAGAGTGTCTCCCACCAGTTTGCTTCATTCCTCCTCAGCTTAGCCAGGTTATGCCATTTGCGTTCGCCACCATTGAATAGGTCCCCCTCTTCTCCCTCTTCCTGACTGTGCCTGTGTTGATGCAAATACTCTTCCCTGTCTTGGCATATCTTGTCTCTACCTGTTCTTCACAACTCCACTAAGTCATCCCTCTGGTAGCAATTTCACACAAGAGTGTGCCTATGGCTATGTGGGTGCTTAGGTGGCCCCATTCACAAAGGCAGGCACCTGGCCTGAGGGCAGGTGGGGATGAATAGGCAGTACCTGCCTAACCCTTTTAAGATTTGTAGGAGTGTCTTGATATTTCCATACTTCTTTTGGTATTGTCTAAAGAAGCTGTTTGCAATGTTGCATAGTTACCCAATCCTCTTTTAAAAATAATTAAGCATGTAAGCTTCCCAGCCGAGATCTCATCTTGATAAAAAGTCAGCTGAATGAATTTTTACGCTACTCCATCTTCCTCTTCAGTCAAGCTTTCAGAGTCTAGCTTCACCATAGATTATGTCATAGTTGTTTGGGCTTCTAATGGCACTTCAAAGTAGGGCTACATTGTACGGGCACTGAGTGAAGGCAGTTCAGGGAGCAAGGGAGATTACCCTTAAGAAACTGAAAATAAAATTGCCTTCTGTGAATTAAATCAATAAATTCTGCACATCATGGAATAAAACAAGCCCTATTCATCTGTCACTTTGTGGTGGCTTGTGTGGTGCTGTGATGCTGGAGGCTATGCCACCCATATTTCAAATAGCAGGAGGGTCACTCATGGTGGACAGGTTTCAGCTGAGCTTCCAGACCAAGACAGACCAGGAAGACGGGCCTGGCGATCTGCTGAAAAAATGGACCCGTGAAAACTTTGTGAAAAACAGTGCACTACTGCCTGAGGCAGTGCCACGAAATGAGTCTCAGGTTTGAAGACACGCCAGCAACGACTGGCGAAGAGCAGCCTCCTCAGACTCGAGGTGCCCTTAATGACATGCATGGACTAAAGCTTTTGGGACCTTCGTTTGCTGATGTGACAAGACTCAAAATGAGAAGAAACAGCTGCAAATACCCATTAATAATTGGAACATGGAATATAGAAAGTATGAATAGGAAAATTGGAAGTTGTCAAAAATGAAATGGAATGCTTGAAGATCAATATCTGAGGTGTTAGTGAGTTGAAGTGGACTGGTATTGGCCACTTTGATTCAGATACCCTACGGTCTACTATGCCAGGAATGGCAAATTGAAGAGGAACTGCATCTCTTATGTTACATTTCTTATGTTCTCTTAGGTTACAGGAAAAACAATTGTTACCTACAAAGGGAAACCAATGACTAAACTTTGATTTCTCAGCATAAACCATGCAGGCAAGAAGGCAATGGGCTGACACATGTAAAACTCTGAAAGAAACAAAATTGCCAGCCAAGAATTATAAATTGTCCTTCAAATACAATGATGAAATTAGGACATTTCCAGATAAATGAAAATTAAGGAAATGTGTAAAAACCAGACCAACCTTATAAGAAATACTAAAGGGAGTCCTTCAGATAGAGAATCAACATCAGACAACAAGTTGAGATTAAGACACAGAACAACATTACCCAGTGACAAAGCCAGGTAAAGAGTTTTCAAAAAATAAAATAAAACAAAAATGAAGACTGAAAGTAGGGAATGGGAGATGTGTCAATCTGTAAATTATAGCTTCACAACAAAAAAAGGGAATGTTGTAATTACAGAGCTTCTCTATGAAGAGGAAATCAAAGCAATATCAAAAGATAGAACAGACTGTTTAAAACTTAGAAAAATAATAAATTACAGAGTAACTACCAGGCTAATTAATAAAAGCACACATACACACACACAGAGAGAACACACACACAAAGTGCAACAAAAAGCAGTAAATTCATACTTATGGATAATTGCACTGAGTGTAAGTGAATTAAATGCACCCAGCAAGAGACAGAGAGTAGCAGAATGGGTAAGAAAGCATGACTCATCAAAATGCGGCTACAGGAGGCACACCTTAGACACAAATATAAAAATAAACTAAAAAAATCAAAGGATAGGGAAAACAATTAAACGACAAACAAAAAACAGCATCAGTGGCAATATTAATTTCTGATAAAACACACTTTAAGCCAAAGACTAGCATAAGAGACAAGGAAGGTCATTATATAATGATTAAAGGTTCAGTCCAACAAAAGGACACAATCAAAACAAATATCTGGACACCCAATGATAGACCCAAAACACACAACAATCTTCAACAAGACTGAAAAGCGACATAGGCAGCTCCACAGGAGGAGACTTTAACACACCACTTTCCATAAAAGACAGAACAACTAGGAAGAAACTCAACAGATACAAAAGATCTAAACAACATAATCATCCAATCTGATCTCATAGACATATACAGAAAACTCAGCTAACAATAGCCCAGTACACATTGCTTTCCAGTACACATGGAACCTTATTCAGACTAGACTATATGTTAAGTCAAAAAGCAAGCCTCAGTAAATTCAAAAGCATCAAAATAATACAAAGTATCTTCTCAGATTACAATGGTATAAAATTAGAAATCAATAACAGAAAGAACAAGGGAAAAAAATAAAATACAAGGAAACTGGATAAACCCAGCACAATTTTTAAAAAAAGTATCTGTTCACCATTTAATAGGTTTCACCCCCATTATCAAAGATCGGCTATCTATAAATGGATGGCCTTACTTATGGGTTCTTAATTCTGGTCCACTGGTCTACATGTCTGTCAATGTACCAAATCCAGGTTGTTTCATCTGCCACGGCTGTATAGTAGGTTTTGAGATCTGGGACTGTGAGGTTTCCTACTTTGTTCTTCTGTGGTGCTGGCAAAACTGGATATCCATTCACAGAAAAATTATACCTCATGCCATATACAAAAACTAACTCAGGGTGGATCAAAGACCTAAATGTAAAACCTAAAACTCTAAAGATCTTGGAAGAAAAAATGGGGGCAAACTTAGGGGCTCTAATTTGTGGCATAAATAGTCTATCAAATGTAACTAAAAATGCACAAGCAGCAGAAGATAAACTAAACTACTGGGCTCTCCTAAAAAGTAAACACTTACGTGCACTGAAAGACTTCTCCAAAAGAGTAAAAAGAGGGCCTACAGAGTGGGGAAAAACATTTTGGGAATGACATATCTGACAAGACACTACTCTCTAAATTTTATGGACAATTTCAGAAAGAATCGGTCGATGTTCAACTATTTCAGGAGGTAGCGGGTTATCAAGAACTGATGATACTGAAGAAAGAAGCTTAGGCTTCACCGAAGGAACTGGTGAAAAAACAGGCTCCAGGACTGATAGGTACCAGTTGAGATGTTTCAACAAACAGACTCAGTGCTGCAAGCACTCACTTGTCTATACCAAGAAACTTGGAATACAGCTAACTGGCCAACTGACTAGAAGAGATCCATATTTGTGCCCATTCCAAAGAAAGGTGATCCAACACGGTACAGAAATTATTGAACAATACCATTATTATCACAGGCAAGAAAATTTTTGCCTCGGATAATTGAAAAATGGTTGTAGCAGTACATTGACCAGGAAATGCCAGAAATTAAAGCTGAAATCAGAAGAGAACGTTGAACAAGTGGTATCATTGCTGATGTTAGATTGACATTGACTGAAAGCAGAGAATATCGGAAAGATATTTACCTGTGTTTTAATGACTATGCAAAGGGATTTGACTGTATGGATCATAAGAAATTATGAATAACATTGTGAAGAACTTGAATTCTAGAACCCTTAATTGTGCTCATGTGGGACCTGTACCAAGAGGCAGTCATTTGAACAGAACAAAGGGATACTGTGTGGTTTAAAATCAGGAAAGATGTGCATCAGGTTTATGTCCTCTCACCATACTTAATCTGTATACTGAGCAAGTAATTCAAGAAGCTAGACTGTATGAAGAATGCAGCATCAAGATTGGAGGAAGACTCATTAACAACTCACTCTATGCAGATACACAACTTTGCTTGATGAAAATAAAGATTTGAAGTGCTTACTGATGAATATCAAAGACTACAGCTTTTGGTATGGATTATACCTTAACATAAAGAAAACAAAAATTCTCACAACTGAACCGATAGCCAATATCATGATGAACAGGAAAAATACTGAAGTTGTCAAAGATTTCATTTTACTTGTATCTATCATCAACACCCATGGAAACAGCAGTCAAAAAACCAAAGGACGTGCTGCATTGGGCAATCTGCTGCAAAAGACATCTTTAAAGTGTTAAAAAGTAAAGATGTCACCTTGAAGACTCAGGTGCACCTGACCCAAGCCATGGTATTTTTCAGTCACCTCATATGTATGTGAAAACTGGATAATAAATAAGGAAGACTGAAGAATTGATGTATTTGAATTATGGTGTTAGTGAAGAATAATGAACATATTCTTCACTGTATATTCTGGAGTGCCAGAAGAATGAACAAATCTGTCTTGGAAGAAGTACAGCCAGAATGCTCCTTAGAAGCAAGGATGGTGAGACTTTGTCTCACTTAGTATGGACATATTATCTGGAGGGCCCATTCCCTGGAGGATACCATACTTGGTAAAGTAGAGGGTCAGCAAAAAACACGAAGCCCCCCCACAAGATCAGTTGACAGACACAGTGGCTGCAACAATGGGCTCAACAAACTTGGAAGAGGTTGTGAAATGCGAATGACACAGGTCCGGGCAGTTTTGTTCTGTTACACAGAGGGTCACTATGAGTCAGAACCAACTTGACAGAACCTAACAACAGCAACAGGAATAGCAACACACATGCATTTATTCAATGAACATTTAAGTGTCTCCTGTGTGGTAAGAGGAGACCTGGTGGCACAATGATTAAAGCACTCACATGCTAGACGAAAAGATCAGTGGTTCTAACTCACCAGCCACTCCATGGAAGAAAGATATGGCAGCCTGCTTCCATAAAGATTTACAGCCTTGGAAACCCTTTGAGGAAGTTCTACTCTATTCTACAGGGTTGCTATGAATCAGAATCTACTCACTGGCAATAGGTTTGGTTTTTTGGTATTGGGAGGCAGGAATTGTTCTGACTGCTGGGATACAAACACAGTTCCTACTTTCATGTAGCTTATATTCCTTCTAGTAGAGGAGACAGACAATAAATTACCAAATGAATAAGTAAAAGAAGATGGTAGTAAGAATTATGAGGAAAATAAGGCAGGTGATGTACCAGGGATCAGTGAGGGTACTAGTTTAGATTAGACTGCAGCTTAATCAGTTACTAACTACAACTTAATTTATTTTACTAACACAACCAAAGGACTTTATCATCAGAAAGAGGGTGATTATCACTGGATAGACAACATGAGGAGTCAAGTAGTCCTTATGAAGGTAAAAGGTGTTGATTTGGAGGACATACGTAGTCTGGGCCATAGTGAAGGGCTTTTGCCTCGTGGGGAGGGAAGGTTTCATCTGGTCTCATTTTGGCTTGGAGGGAACATGTCCCAAGATAATCCACCTCTTTCTGCTTGTTGCCATCTTCAGCAAAACACCTTCTGATTACTAGTTTGGTTACCCATGTTCCTTTACCTGGATAAAGTAGGTGCCAGGGTTCTGGTAGCAGATCATGTGGTTAATCAAAAGGAAGCATTTCCTCATTATGAACTGATAAACAGGCTTCTGGTTTATAGATTAGTCTTATCTGAATTGCATCTGTCATTGATAGTTTGATCATTTCCCAGTGTTAATAAAATCTGTTTTCTGAGATCACCAAGCCAAGACCAACCCTTTCACAATGGGAAATTCATTGAGGTAATGCCTCTCTAGGCACCACTTGGAAGTCAGCTAGCCAAGTTTCTTGTTCACCTCACCCTTCTTTCAAGCTGCAGAACCATACTGTTCTGAAACAGTAATCAGTGTGAATGGAAAGAACTCATTCCACGGTCCACAGAGATGTCTTCTTTTGCTTCAGTATTATAGGTACTTAGTGAAAACTTATGAGTCTTATTTTTCTGTTTACAGTAGAAAACTTAAGCCAGGCATGACTTATACAAAATTAATTGATGCAGACATTAATGTTGGAAACATTACAAGTATTGAGTTCAGGTGGAAGGAACATTCACTTGGAGATTCTCAGAATAAGTTGGGAGCAGAAATGGTGATAGATGTATCCGGAAAATATGGATTTAAGTAAGTATTACTTTTTCCTTTGCATTTCTAAGTACAGTTTACATTTTATAAATAGTATTTAAAACCTAATTTAATATTTGCAGCTAGTATAAAAATTTGTACACCAGGAAATTTTGCAATTACAAGTGATTGAGAAATCAAACTATATTTGTAAAAGTATTTACAAAATAATAATTAATCTCTAAGTTACAGAACTATGATATCTTTTCATTTTCCTTGAAACATATGAAAACACATTTTTTCCTTTAAATTTTTCAGATCTACCTTCTGTAGCCAGGATTTTGTGGGCCCTAATATTGCCCAGGTTCTGACAACATGCTAATTCCAGATACAATCTGAATGGATGTATTCAGTGGGAGCAAAGGACAAAATTAAGAATTTTCTTTCTACTGGTATCTGGACCCATCGCAACCCTTGTAAATGAGATAGAAAAGTATAGTTGTTTTGTGGGTTTTGCTTGTTTGTTTATTTTTCTATATAGAATGTTCTTTGCATTGATAAAATTTTATGTGTGCCTTGAAGACAGTTTCTGAGCCCTGGGACTGAATATAGTCCTGTGATCTATAGGAATTTGGATATCGGTGACAAAATAGACGATTCGTGTTAGAATGTCCCTGAATAAGAGGGAAAAGTGTAGCTGCAAGTGAGCCTTGGTCTGGTTGAGTTTTTGAAGTATGTTTCTAAAATGATTTAAAGAGTATTTATTGTTAATTTGTACTGAGACAAATTTTGAACGTATTTCATGATATATGTTGTTGTTACGTGCCGTCGAGTCTGACGCAACTCATAGCGACCCCTCCTTGGGTTTCTGAGGCAGTATCACTACGGAAGAGGAGGAGTGGCTGGTGGGTTTGAACCGCCAGCCATCTGGTTAGCAGGCAAGTGCCTTAGCCACTATGCTACCAGAGCTCCCTTCATGATGTATGCTGTTGTTGTTGTTGTTATGTGCCATCGAGTCGGCCCCGACTCATAGCGACCCCTCCTTGGGTTTCTGAGGCAGTATCACTACGGAAGTAGGATTGCTCAGCCTGCCTTCCGAGGAGTGGCTGGTGGGTTTGAACCGCCAGCCATCTGGTTAGCAGGCAAGTGTCTTAGCCACTATGCTACCAGAGCTCATGATGTATAGCAGATCATAATCCTGTGGGTTGATGTATCTATTTATTAATAAAAATGAAAACTAATGGCAGTACTAATGCTAGTACATGGTAGTATAAGGAAAGAGACTTTGGCATTTCTGTATCAGAGTAAGCAATGGGCCCTGGAGACCATCAGCCCAGGGAGTTGCCCACTTCTTCCAGACATGCCCTGTCACTGGTTTCTCTGGGTCTTGAAAGCCCTGTTGCCAATTTGTGTCTAGCCTAAAGGCAACATTTCATTTGAATGCTGTGAAAAGCACTTGGATAATCCTTTGTGTCTGCAATAATACTATTATAATACTTAAATGTATCTGCTGTGGTTTTTCCTTTATTTTGCTACCATTTCTTCTGATTCGCTTGTCCTTATTCATTGAAATGGAAAGATGAAAGTCTACATTTGCTGGTTTTCTATCGCTAGGCTAAGCCCACAGAGCTGTGCTATAAATACAATTGGCAAGAAATGATGACAGGTACTCTGCAGAGGGTTTCTTGATTCTCTTTGGTGACTCGCTGCCAACTGAACCTTGAGAAGAGATCTGTGGATGCACATAAATAAATCTGAGTTGGGAAAGAAAGCAGAAACCAAAGCAGGTGACTCTTCACATCATGTAAGGAGGGGATGGAAGACAGATTGGAGCCCTGGGCTTGGTGAAATGAAGAAGAAGCAGCAACACATTTGCATGATATGGCAGAGGCCTGCCTTCACTGGTAAACTAGATGCATCAACCCTAGGCCTGGACAGTCCCGGGCCCAGATCAGGAGGTAGGTGGTCATAAGCAGGCCCAGCAGTAGGGACTAAGCCCCACGGAGGAACCTGTGACCTGGAACCAGCACTCATTAGCAACCTGGCCGGGCGTCAGTTCCATGACTCCAGGGAGGGACCTCTTCCTGGGTGGACCACTGACCAGAGTCTGCACTGCTCTCTGCTCAGTCTTTCTTCCTTTCAGGAAGGGCTTGGCCAACCAGGAGCAAGAGTTAGGAAACAGAACAGCATTAGACTCTGCAAGTCCTGGCTCGCCTTTTGCCCATGAAGTCCCTTGGCCAGCTTTTTCTAAGCTTGAAAAGACAAATGAGAGTCAGTTAACTTCTGGGAACCCTATTTTAATAAACTATAGACTGTCTGTCCCATACTTCCTAATATCTGTTGCCTTTTTGTGCATTGTAAGAAAGTTGTGAGTATGAAAAATAGTGCAGGAGCTATCTAGGCAAAGCAATTCTGAAAGTTCAAGGTGACACCGTTCTTTTCTATGTGTGTGGTTCCCTAGGAATGCTCTTTTCCCTCTCAGTGCCCTGGTTCATTGTAGCACAGTATCTGTGGCCTGTCACTGTTGGGGCAAGGCCAACCTCTGCTTCTGTGCCGACGGATCTCACATCCTCCTGCTTTTTGGCAACTTTCCTTCTCATTTTTCTTTCTCTTTTTCAACCTCTCATTGCATCAGATTTTAAAAATCCTAAAGTCTCTTCCCTTAAAAATGTGTCATCAAACCTAAATTCCTCTTTACTCCCTACCTGCCCTCGGAATAGCTCTCACCAAGATTTCCAGTGACCGTCAGTCCCTAAATCAAATGGAAAATTTTGCTCATTTGACTTTTTTTTTCCCTTTTTATTGTAGAAATTTTCTAATATTCACAAAAGCAGAGAAATCAGTAAAAGGAATTCTAGGTACTTACCATTCAGCTTAACAATTCTCAAAGTTTGCCAAGCCTATTTTATACACATGTACACATTCTCTCTCAATCATTCTCTCTCTCTCTCTCTCCTCGTTTTGGTTTGGTTGTGCTGCAACATTCTAAAATAAATCTTAGACATAGTACTTGTTATTAAGTACTGTCGAGTCAGTTCCAACTCATAGTGACCCTGTGTACAACAGAAGGAAACACTGCCCGGTCCTCACAGTTGTTGCTATGCGCCAGCCGATTGTCGCAGTCACTGTGTCAGTCCACCTTCCTCTGTTTCAGTGATCTTCTGCTTGACCAAGTGTCATGTACTTGTCCAGGACTGGTCCCTAGACATAATGCTAATTCTTCCATATATACTTCAGTATATATCCATAAATTATAAACTTGTTGAATATAACAGCACTGCCAATTTTATAAAATTTAACAAAAAATCATTATTTAATAATAATGATCTTTAAATGAAGTTAGAATTAACTAAAAACAACAACAGTAATTCCATAACATTATCGTATATTCAGGTTGTATTTAACTTTCTCTGATTTTTTTCTGAAGGTCTTTTCGCAGTTAGTGTGTTTAAACTGCAATCCAAACAAGATGCACACATTGCATTGGGTTTTGTCCCTACATCTTTCAATCCATAAAAATTCTCCCTTCCCCTCATTTCATGCCAGTATTTAAATAAATGAAGTCTAATGTTCTGCAAAATGTCTCACACTCGACGGGTTGAATCTCCTTGGTGTCACTTAACATATCCCTCCATCCTGGGGATTTCCTGTAGGCCGGTAGTAAGAGGGAGAGGCTTGTCAGATTCAAGGTCCTCTTTGCCAAACTGTGGGGATTGACTACAGATGTGCTTACCTGTGGGAGGGCCCATTTTTACACCTTACAGCTCTCAAGTTGTGTGCTGTCAAGTTGATGACAACCCATAGGGACCCCAAGTTACCTATATAACATGAATTATATATATATGAATTATATATGTATGTGGATTATATATATATATATATATGGATTATATGTGTGTGTATATGTATATACATACATATATATACATACACACACACACACACACACATATATATATATATAGGCTCTCTGCTGGCATAGTGCCTAAGGCATTATGCTTAAGCTTAGACTTCCGTAGAGATACCACCTCGGAAACAAAAGGAGGAGTCTCTATGAGTCGAATCAACTCAACAGCAGTGAGTTTGGTGTTTTTCATTTATATATATGGATTGTTGTTGTTCTTGTTACGTGCTGTTGAGTTGGACCTGAGTCATAGTGACCCCTTCTTGGATTTCCGAGGCAGTATCACTATGGAAGTAGATTGCCCAGCCTTCCTTCCAAGGTGTGGCTGATGGGTTTGAACCACCAGCCTTCTAGTTAACAGTTAAGTGCCTTAGGCACTACACTACCAGAGCTCCATATATGGATTATATATATATATATATGGACTATGTATATATGGATTATATATATATATATGTTTATATATAATCCATATATATATATATATATATATATATATATAGCATATAATAGCACTTTGTAAATTTGGAAGGGCTTTACCAATTAGGGGAGCTCTGGATTAGAGTTGTAGGTTAAAGAAATTATTGGATAACTTAGAAGCTAGTTGTTAAATGGCAGGCTAATAGGGTAAAAAACAAAACAACCCCCTACCATTGAGTCTGTTTTGACTCATAGCAGCTCCCATTAGATTTCCAAAGTGGTAAATCTTTATGGAAGTAGATTGTCTCATCTTCCTTCTGCAGAGCAGCTGGTGGGTTTGAACTGCCCATCTTCTGGTTAGTCAAATATGTTAGGCAGTGTGCCACCAGAGCTCCTTTAAGAGGGTAAAGATGCCTATAAAAAGGTTGAGGAGGGCTTGTATTCTCAGAGGGCTGGAGGAAAGGGACAAACACGTTGTGTCAAGATGCAATTACAAAGGAGGCATTGACCTTGCACTCTGCCTAGGGCTGGGGGAGGGACAGAAGGAATACTTCTGCCAAAGTAGAGGAAAGTTCAGACACCTGGTGGAGTCTCAGGATTGTCTCCCTGGGCGTCTCTGATCTGCGCTAATAACAGAAATCCCCTTGCTTAATAGAGCCCTCAGGCTCTGTCGACCACAGCTCTACAGAACTGGCAGGGGCCTAAAGAACAGAAGTATGATTTATGCCAAGTGAGTGCTCCTTAGCCTTCTGCAACCAAAGCCCATGTTAGATACACATAAAAACCGCATGTCCCTCCTGGGGTCTTTACTCCTTCGCAGGGGAAAATCAATCTTTTTCCATATACCCTCTGGCCCAGAAGATTTTGTAAATCTTTACTCTGTAGATGGCATAATAAAAATGATAGGTATGGTTTTTATTGTGTTGTGTTTTGCTTTTTTCCCCTACGTAGATACTTACAGTACCGGACGGGCTTCTTTATTTTACACATGCTTCTGGAGAGTTCTGCTCAAAGTGATTTAAGAATGGAGTCTCTGCTAGGTTCCATTCCAGTAAGAG